TTTTCTGGATCTCTGACAGACGGACTTCAATCTCTGAACTCKTAAAGTTCTTTTTAATTTTCGCTGTCATTTTCATGAATGGACAATTCCTTGTATCTGAGGCAGGAAAAATAGCCTTATACGGTGTTTTTGGGGTGGTAATTATGCTAATCTCCTCTCACGTGCACATGCAGCTGGATAGAACAGGTGGAACTTACGCAGCTCATTTACACACTTTTCCTGAAGATAGAAGAGTTTGTTGAATCTGATGTGGCATGTTCGTACGAACCCTTTGTACGAACAAAAGTAAGAGAAATTTAGGATAAGAATACGAACATGTTCTTGCATGAGGCCCATTGTCCAAATGTTTTCTTTTCCAATTTCCAAACATTTCTTTATATATTAAATACTGACTCAAACTGGTCTTTAGATGTGACATTTCTGTCATGCTTTGAACCATTTTATTTTGTTGTGAACTTTTGTTTTGTGACAAATCACAGCTAAAAAAATCTAATACTGAAATTCAGAGATAAGAAATTATTATAAACATTAATAATACCCTAAAATTACAGTACATATTAATACAAAAGAACAAGCAATACCATAGAGAGGAAGACTTGATAGTATCAAAGACTGGGTACCCCACAACCCTAACACAAACCTATTCAGACAGTCAATTTTTTAACTCCAATTAAAATAAATGCTGAAAACATTATCAGTAGGAGGAATTTGAAAAGCCTGGAGCAACCTACAAATGCATGTGAAGAACATACAAACTCCATACATAAAGGATGTGAGTCAACAGTGGTTACCACCACACCATCCTGCAACTTGTTATTTATTCTCTCCTTTTTTAAACAATCTAAATGTACTGAAACACAGAACCAGTGGAACAAAAATAAATAACATTCCTAATACCTGGTTCAAGCTGGACTTTAAAATAATAGTTTTAAAAATTTGTTTCACATCCAAATTTCAAACACTAAATAAAACTTCAGTTTACGAGACCATACTACCCCATCTTGCCTCACTTTATAAACCGCATCATTTCCACTAACACTACACAAACATCACATAAAAGCTCCCATGGATTTGTGTGTGAAGTGGCTCTTTTATACACACATATTGGAGTCTATAAAATACGTTCAACAAAGGCTGATAGTGGCAGTGGTGAAATTAAAAAGAGGAGGGAGGGGTGCTATAAGGGCCGCAGCTACTGTCTGCGATCAAGAGCAGACCTCCCATATGGAGCTGATTAGCCCCATGGTCATGTCCCAGGTCGTGCAGACGAGAGAGTTTTGGGGTAATTTGGGTTTTCCGGGTCACAAACTGCTGAGTGGTTAATAAAGTMTTTTTCTACCTGTTCTCACAGTTTCCATTCCTTCCTCCCCTGCTGGAGACACATACTGGACAAGCACCATAAGACAGATAGGCATTCCCATACACATGTCAGGTAGGCAAACAGGCATGGGATAACAAGGGTTCTCTGCTTCTTGAGCGTTGTTTAAATTGGGTACATGTGAGCAATTTGTTACCAACTAACATAATGGCCTTGTGGTTGCTGTTCAGCATTTGCCAACAAGTTATATGGAGAGGGACCCGTGGCGAATGTTTCCCGTTATTCATGAAGCCACTTTATGGCGTGGAAATGATTTTGAATTGGAGGGATTAAATCATACATTGTTCTGTTGCTGCATACTGCTCCAATACACCTGTACTTTAGCATCTGCATTACAAGCTGTGCCACTGTGCAACAGTTGTGTTCTCTTCAGTCTTTTCTAATTCACTTAAATTCCTTTGTTTTGTGATAGGAGTATGCTTTGTTCACAAACATATTTATCGTCAACACATTGCCACTCATCTATTAAGTCTGTGCTTACAATGGCAACAGAAATACAAGGATGTAGGTTTAATTCATGCCAATCCCACTGCAGCATTGCTTTGCTATTATTGAGCAATTACATGGCTCTCACTTCTACTTATAGCGCTATTCTGAAAAAGCCTTATTGAGTGTAGAATTTTCTAGCACAACAAACAAAATAGGCAGGATCTCGAGTGCCCCAATGTGGCCACAACGGACACTACAGCTATTTAAAGATAACTGTAGAAAGACCTTTACTCAGCATTCAACATAAAACCCTGAACTATCTTAGTGTGCATTATGAATAAATAAATACATAACTGGGACACAACCGTGGATGTTTCAGGAACACAGCAAATTATATTCACAAGTTTGTCATGTAGTAATTTTACTGACTGTCTCTTGCACATTATGCATATGCACATTAAGAACATAAGTTAAATCTTGTTTTCTAGCATCTCAGACATTTTCAGATTCCATTAATTAAAAAAATTAGAAGAAAGGAAATGAAAAGAATAAAGTGAAATAATGACAAAAGCACAGGGAGTATGACAGAGGAGAGAAGTCAACATCTGAGCAAATCTCATTCCCCAGAGTTAAAAAGAGGTGAGAGAAGAATGCTTTCAGGGACTTGAGCCGCATCCCACACGTGCACTCTTAAGGATGCATCAGAACACAACGAACTGACAGGCAGGACATGTGTCCACTCAACCACACCGGTCCACCTTAAGAAGCTGCCCATGCCTTGATGAAGGTATAGTCCCTTTAGGTCTCTCAATCATTTATAAAGACTCAAATCATTCCACATTCAGATCATTTAGGGCAAAGGCAGTGCTCATCACCTCTTTACTATCATCCCTGACTCCTGCCTCACTGGAGAAAAATATATACAGTGCAAGGCATAATAATGCTCAACAAGACAAAGAAGTGACCAGCCTGATTGGTTTACATGATTCACCTGCATCCATGATGCTACATATTCATAGTTTTCTATACACTCGCTCATAGCTGGAAGAGAAAATTTAGGCCTTTGTTCCCAAAGTAGGGTTTATAAAAGGTAAATACTCAAAGTATCATAATCAGTGATCAAAGATTAAATTGTCAGCTGGTGAAGGCTGAAAAAAAATTGAGCTATGCCTTGGCATCCAGAGTGCCCGCTGAAAGTTTCTATTCTTGCTATTCTAAATGTGTAACTACCTCTAAATTTAGAAGCTCTAAAATATTTAGCCTCCCCTGATCCTCACACCGACATCGAGAGAGGGGCTGGTTAACTGCAGAGTTGCTTATACAAGACCGGAAAGATTTCCAAGAATAATGTTTAGTGGCCTGACTGAAAAATAACTACTTCACATACATATAACATCAAACATACATGCATAAACTTGCATTTGCAAAGCCAAATACAGACCATATCATCAGACTTGTGAATCTAACTCCAAACTAAGGCTACATAATATGAATACAATTTATATCACAACATAACCCCTAATTTCAGATATAATTTCAATATCAAAATGAATAATAAAAATGTCAGAAAAACTGTCAAGAACACAAATATTTACTGTACTGCTGTCATTTAAGGTATGTTTAATTAAAATTATGACCAGTCAGAACAAAAGGTGAGATATCTTAAACTTAATGTATGCATTGTCAATTTAATTGTTGATATCTGAAATAAAAATTTATTGCAGGAATCTTGAATTAGAGCCTCCATACAACTTAATGGTAAATCTGACATAATTTATACTAGTCAGAATGTAGTTACAGATGTTACAGGTATTCATATAAATATAAATATATATTATTATGCCTACTCAAAATATAGTTCGAGGTATCTTAATTAATTATTGTCTAGTCATAAAACCATTTCAAATAGTTGGAATGCAGGTTGTAAGAGGCCAAACAGGTAAACAGTACGACATGGTTGAGAGTATAATGGCATGAAGATAGATATTTGAAACAGAAGATGTCAGATTGGATCTAATTTTTGAATAAACGTATAACTTCTGTTTCAACTTAGTGGTTAAGACTTGTACGATCAAGATAAGTCAAATGAGAATCCAAAGTAATTCCAAGATATTTGTAGGTAGTGACAATATCAAGGGGTTTGTTTAAAAAAGTGAGTTGAGTTGTTATATTGAAATGTCTCCTGGGTGAGGAAAAATATATGCACACAGTTTTTTTTAACATTAAAAGCCAACCATGAAATGTCTGAAGATCTGCTTGTAACTGACTATTAATAGATTCAACATTGAAATCAGACAAAAAAAGAAAAGTATCATCAGTATACATAAAATGTAAAATATTTGAATACTTAAATATTTTTGGAAGGTCATTTATGTATAATAGGAAAAGCAATGGGCCCAGTATGCTACCCTGTGGAACTCCCACGGAACAGGGCAGAGACCCGGACACAGAACTTCCATGTTTCACAACCTGACACCTATCAGTCAAATAAGAGGAAAATATTTGTATTGCAGATGATGAAAGTTGAAAAGAAATCAACTTTTGTAAGAGAGTATAATGATCAACTGTGTCAAACGCATATTCTAGTGCTACTCTTTACAAGCTGAATGCCACTGTAAAAAAGTGTGGAAGATTATATTCTTTAAGTTGCTAAGCTGTGCAGATAATCACAAAAAGGAARACCGTTTCACAGAAGCTTCCTAGCTGCTCTCATCAACCCTTTACAGGTCAGCAGGTGGTGGCAGAGATCATCCTGAACACCATCCTTTTGCTGACTGTCAGGGAAGCGTGCAACAAGGGCCAGGAGTGTAACAAGTATGGAAGGGGGCAGGGCCCTTTCACTCCTTTGCAAAAGGGCTGTTCACTTTTGCTAAAGACATGCCAGATGCTCAGGAACCTTGTTAGCGTATCCCTCAACCAGTCAGATGCAGTGAAATGACTGTGTGTCAAAGACAGAAAGCAGAAAAGACAGACACTCCCCTGTAAAGCTGTGCAATACACTTCTAAAGACTTTCTAAACTTATTATTGACTTAGGAGCAAGGAAAATAAAATTATGAAGTCAAAATATATAATCCTATGCTACAGTGTGCCAACTCCCTGAAAGTGACGATTCAGTTTTCATTATGTATTCCTGATTTTAATAGGGTCAGAAAACAGAACTATTTATATACATTTCTTTGTGACTTGACTAGTCTTGTTATAACACTAAAACATAYAGTCCTCGAGACTTAATAATAGTAAATAAAAAGGGTTTTTCCCCCCACCCTCATTTTCATTTTATTTGTTTTTAGTTATTTTTTTCCAAACATGTTGGACACAACATGACCTTAAACGGTCTAGTTGTTCAAGTTTCATAGCCTATAATTCAATTAAAATGGTATCTTACTCTCAGTCAAACTGGCCAAGAATTTGGTCCAGAATAAGACAAGCTTCACAACTTTTTTTTTGTTTACTTAGTTTAAAAAAAAAACTGAGTCATGAAAGGACAGGAAAATCGTGTTTGTTCTTTTTAAAATTCCCGGTCCAAGCTAATATGTTGCTGTGGTAACAAACGTTGTAACAGGCAGCTTTAGGGTAACACTGTGACCTTAAAGGAAGGTATGTAAACACCACTTTATATTCTCCGGCTGGCCCTGCCAGAAAGAAGGCCTGGGAAAAATGTCTGCATGTGCAGGAGATTTGAAATAAATATCCAAGCCCCTATTGTGGAGCTCCAACAAAGACGAGTATCTTAGTAACACCAAACGGGTTTGCTTGGCGAGACGTTTTCTCTCCCCTCCAACGCCTCCTCCTCCACAATAAACACACTTCTCATCATCGGCGGGTTAGGGCTTGGGATGAGATTGATGAGGAGTTTCTTTAACTACCAGATGAAACCTGTTGGCCCTTTGCTGGGTCAGTCATGGGGTCAAACTCGTTCCAACTCGTTTCAGGATCAAAAACATTTCAATACTGGCTAGGACCAAAAGGCTATTCACTGCAAAGCATGCTTGCCAGTTTAATTAAAGTCTTTTTACATACCTATTTTATGAAAAATTATATATGCTTTGGATAATTCAAAACGTACATTAATTTTTAGTAACTACAGTTATAGTACAGAATAGACATCATTTTTGTGGAGATAAAGACACGTCTACAACACTACAGTAGAAAGAGTGAAAAAAGGGTTATCACTATCAAAAGTATTATTTTCTGCCCACATCAAACTTTTAAATAAAAATAACTTCAGAGTATCACATTTGCATTTTCTCAAGATGCTTCAAGTCCTTTGAAGGACTGAAATAGAGCTTTATCAGAACATCATCTCTATAAGAATGGCATAAATTGCTCATTATTATAACAATGGCAAAAATTTACAAATTCAATAAGAACCATAATCAATTTTTTATAAAGCTTAATAGGAAATAGTTTTTATCAATCACAAGTATGACTTGAAAACTACTTTAGATGCAAAAACAACTACACCACTGAATAATTGTCTCATTACGACTATAACAACAAATGGTGCAACAAACTTTGTCGACTGAAGTGATGTAGCTTTTAAGCAAGGATTTGAGAACACAGCCATAAAGCGGGAAACATTTTACAGCAGCAACTAAAGCTAGATCATAACATCTGACATCACGACCCTTAGTCCCTCAGATTCATCCACAATTTGAACAATTTGTTAAACTGTTAATCACTCGGGTGACAGAGCCTCTAAGGAGTCAAACATTTAAACAAACACACATTACACCAAAAAAATCCACATTTACATCCTTATTCTGTTGGCGTCTTTTAGTACATCGTCAAAAGTAAACACAGCCACATGAAAAGGCTGACTTACAACGTTAGTCGTGAAGTTCATCATTTACTTCATTTCCGCAGTCAAAGGGACCTCGCAGTGCAACAACATAAGCCGAGGAGGTTAACATGTCACATAAAACCTTATAGCATCTTGGTCTGATGCTATTATTGGATGAAAGGCTAAAATCGCATTTTAAAAACTTAGATTGAAGTTTTACGTTCTTCTTGCTGTCAGCCACACTATTTCCTTTACAGGCAGCTCAGATTTTCGGGGCAAAACAGGACCGCCACCCCCACCTCTTCGCCCTTCTTTAGGTTACACAATATATACCTAGAAGTGCAGCTAAACACTAAACAGTGCTTCCTCTGAGTAAATTTATGGAAGCTATGCTGCAAAAAAACCTTCTTGCTAAAATGAAAAAAGAACAAAAACGGCAAAAATTAAGAGAGGCCCTCGTCCTGCTTCCTGCACATCAGGGCCTGCCATCTATTGAAGAAATCCAATCGAAACAAATTAGTGGACAAAGAAAGAAAGAAAAACGGCTACAGTAGAGACTAATTTTTATGTGCTTTTGCCAGAAGGGACATAAACCAGAAAGGTTTCAAACTGTGACACAGGATAGAGGTGTTATTAAAAGTAAATCTTTTCCCTTCCATTTTGTAAGGTTCTATTGTCCTGTCATGTTTCTGCAACTTTATGGACTTTTGGGACACGAGCTCCCAGACTTTTTTTTTCCTGATGGGGAAAGAGGGGAGGAGGGTAATCAATTAAACGAGGAAGTTCACTGAGCCTTACAACTCGATTATTAGCCTGTGCTTTTGAAGTTTTATTTTAGGAGGCTGGGGAGGGGGTGACAGGGAATCAGGCTTTAAATCAGTGGGGCCGATGCAGCAGTGTTGAAGCGTTTGCAGCCTACGGCCTTATTGAAAGAGTTTGTCAGGATGTGGCGCTGAGCGAAGACCAGATTCAGACTTTCATGGTTAATGAGCTTTCTGCCSTGGCAGTTACAGTCAGTTATGTGAGTCAAAGAAAGGGCAAAGACTAGGCACCTGCTGCTGGTTCTTAAGAGGAAACTTCTTGAATAGGAATTATTATGTGAGTATCAAATGACAGAAAACACTTGTTTGTAAAATTCTATTTTCTTAAAGTTTAAATTTTATAAAAAAATTGCTTGATCCTACACTTATAAATAAATAAATAAATAAATAAATAAATAAATAAATAAATAAATAAATAAATAAATAAATAAATAAATAAATAAATAAATAAATAAAACAGTGTACAGAATTCTGAATAGCTTTCCATGACATTATAGTTTGTTCACACTTTGAAAGTCCATAAACTGCACCCCAAAATTTGTCTAACAGTTTCCTTGCATCACCTTGATTTAAAAATAAAAGAAAAAGAAGAAATATCACACATATAAAGAAACAAATGTTTCAATATTATTTAAAATGTATGATTTGTACCTTTTTTGACCCAGCAAATCCCTCAGACTCCAAGAAGAAATACGCAAATGGCATCAGCACAAAAAGGCAAAGGTTGGAGAACAGAGACACCAGGTTCCACAGACCTGCAGGAATCAAACTTAGTGTGAGTACACATTAATAGCTGATTGTACAACAATATATATTATGAAGCAGTGCTTCTACTTTATAAGAAAYAATGCAACCAAATTTTCCCTTAATTTTGGTAAAGTTTGGTGGAAAGCAAGTTAAAAATCTATTTTTTTTTTTTTATCAAGAATGTTGTTGATCATTTTTAAGCCATGGGCTCTACTGCCACCCGGTGGATAACGGGATATCTTAGCGTCTTTATCTAAAGAACGAATTAACACTTAACTCTAGAGCACATGTAATGACATGTTTGTCAGAAACAAATATGTTGCTTTATTTGTTTTATTTTACTATGTTGAGTATGATCATTTATTTCTTAATAATTTGCACAGCAAAACCATAAAAACCCTTTTCATTTAAATAAGCATAATGTAATTTACCTCCGAAGTTCACTGTGCACACTAATACGCATACAGTTTGTAAAATAATAATTTTAGATATTTAGGATTTTATGTGTGTGTTTAATGACCAGATTATGAGTATTAGTGATCAAATAAAGAATGAAAAAATTATCTACCCTTCACCCACAAACTTTTTTTTAAACCAACAGATTCATGCTGACCGTGAATGAGTGAGCCATTGAGCCACTGGATGTAATAGTTTCTGGGGAAGGAAAGGAGGATCTCATTGCTAATGATTGAGAAAGGCAGTARGAAGACTGCGCCACCGGACACTGCCAGTGTGAAGGTGCACAGGTATAATCTGAAAACAAAAGCAAATACACATACATTCAGATAAAAACAGGTCAACAAAAAAGAAACAAAATAAACCAGATTTTTTTTTTCGTTTTTGAATAAGATACAGCTACAGTTGTTTGCACGCTTATAATAATTGTTCGATAAAACATGTTCTATTTAAAAAGTAACTTGTTTTCAAGCATGTCAGGAAAGGAAAATGACAAGAAAAAGCAGCACAAACTCATTTAACAAAGACCATTTAAATAATAATGGACTACTGGTTCATTATTAATCTATATTTTTAATCAGCTGACTCATCCTCTTATTCACCTTTAGCCATTTCCCAGCACAAAAAAAAACCTGACAGCTTTCCAGTAGTCTGCTGATTCAGAGGCAGCTGCTAAACAGACTGGAGTCACTGTTCAGTGGGCTCACACAAATTTGCCACCTGACCATTTTATTAAACAACGCTTTTAAACTTGAATGCTTTTTTAATATTGGACAGAACCCCTAAAAAAGTACCTCCTTCTACACACCTGGGGAATAAATGAACCAGCAGATAAAAGAGGCTACAACAATCATTTCTGCTTGACAGACTAATCTAGAGGGAGTTATAGCACGTCATCCTACTTTTAAGTGTAATTATTTTGTTAATAATAATAATAATAATAATAATAATAATAATAATAATAATGTTGTCACTGCTTAACCTTTCAATTAGTCTTTATTATTTTCTAAATTAAGCTAATTGCAAGAAGATTATTTAAAAAATTGCAGTCAAGGTGAGCTCTTCTGGAAAAGAGTCCCTTTTCCCATGACATTTGCTTTTTGTTTCTTTCTTTCAGTAAATACCGGTAGATTAAAAAAAAGATTAGGTTTAATGTAAAAAAAACGGGCCACATATTAATTCCCAAAACATTAAAAAAAATAGCCTAAAGCTTCAAAATCAAACCTAAACTAAGGATTAACAGTCTACATGTATCATCTAAAAACAATGTTGCAACAKGCAAATAAATTTTTACAAGTTCTTATTAACAAATTTTGCACAAAAATGACAGACATAATCTGAAAAAAAAAATAACAAGGTTTATTGAGGTTGGATTTAGTGGAGCACTTTTGAGCTGTCTGTGTTTGATCAGCATAGAACTGTGATCAAAAAACTGAAAAATCAAAGTTTTACTCATTGAAGCTCAGAGTAATCATATTTAACTTTTTTCTTTTTAATCAGAATTAATGTCTTTGTATAAATTTCATTGCTTAGTAAAGTCATTTATATATATCAATCTATCAAACGATAAGCTAAGCCTTATTCACTTGTTTTTATTTTAGTAATTGCTTGGTTAACTGCTTTTTAAAAGGCAGATGTTCTTTAATAAGTCACATTATTTCAAAAAGAAGAAAGATAGTGTCACTCACGATATTCTGTTAACAACAGCATCTTCATCCTCATGATCATCTGTAAAAAAANGTTACACTTCAGTCAAAAACTCAAGTCATTAAGTCAAGTCAAATTTAGAAAGAATGAACTATTTCACTTGTATGTTTTATTTTAGAATTCCCATTTTTTGGGATTTGTTTCTTTTTTTTTTAAAGTAGCCTTCAAGACCTTTCGAGAAAACTATAGACTACTACATTATAACTTCTCTGTTTATTCCTCAGTAACATCTGTTTACCCTGCCCAAATTATTAAACATACTGCAATGATTGGAGGACTAAACCTGCACTCACTCACTGTTATGCCCGGCAATTTTTCTTATGCATGTCAACCAATTATACACATTTAAATAGTACACTGCAACAAAAAGTAGGGGTACTGACACACATTTTTTTATATATACTGTATATATAATTTTGCACTTCATGCAAAAATATTTGGTCCTTACCAGCTGGATATTAGAAAAAAGCCACTAAGAATTCTATAGTGAACAATCAGGACTTCTATTTGATCTACTTTCAAAAAGAAAATGACTTTGGAGGTGACCTGGGCAAACTATATTTAATCTACGACAAGAGGAAATGTCTGCCCTATACTATACAAAGACTGCTGAAGCTGATTCTTGCTGCATTCAGATTTGTTCATCTTAATACAGGTCATAAAATGTCAACATTACAGCCTTTTTGTGACCAACTGTTTTCAAGTTTCTGCAGTTCCAGTGATATTACTTGTGGATACAGTTAACAAAGACAAAGCTAAGAGTTACAGATTATTGTACAAGGATGGGTGCAGTCACAACCACATACACTTTAATCCTTTTTGACAATGACTTTATTCCAGTCTAAACAAAATGAAGGGCGGTGTCTCTGAGCAAACATGGCATAAACAGAGATGGAAAGACTTCACTGCTGTGACAACTCTTCACACATTTCTGCTGTGTAAATGTAGCACACAAACTTACCACTTTTCCTCTTGTACCTGGTTATGATGAAGTAGGACACAATGTAGAGGACTGCAAACAGGAGGAAGCAAATCTGAAAATGATAACATAGGAATCTTTAACAAAATTTATTAACATTTTTAGATTCAAACACATTTTTATGCTGATGTGAACGATCCTGCATCAATGCATAAAAAGAAATTCATAGAGATTTTTCTGACTACACCAAATTATAATATGCAATGAAAGTATGGAGCTTTGCACAGTTATTGTTGACTGTAATATTAAATTGTCAACAAGCGCCATATCATTCCTCACCAGGACTTTCTTTACAAATTTAAATAGTGAATTSTCGTCCTTTATTTGGAATAAAAAGCATCCACGGATAGGCAGTAAGATGTTACAGTTACCCCATGGTCTTGGTGGCTTGTCACTCCTCAACTTTTTATATTACTACTGGGCAGCCAACATTAGAGCCTTACTGTACTGGTTGAGAGACGACAACCCTGTTCCTACTTGGGTAAATCTAGAGAGGAAATCAGTTACGGCGAGCTGTCTCTGCTTTACTTTGCTCCCGGTTACCGTTTAATCATCCCATCTCAACTTATACTTCTAATCCGGTTGTAAC